GATTATATAGAAGTAATTTTACTAATTTTATACAATCACACCTCTTTATTATCACCTAATTAGTATGTGCCAAACTGCGTGATTATAAAGGAGAATGACTATATTTAATATTATATAGTTTTTACAATTCTTTTCTTAGATAAAATATTTCTCTGACAATTAGTTTTCTAATATATATTTTTTAACTGATATTAGCTCTAAATTAGACCAACTCTAATGCTAAATTAGACCAATTTTATGTTGATAAAATAATTGTCAGAGAAATATCTTGTCTAAGAAAAGGATTGTTGAAAAAAATATAATATCAAATATATATCTTTTTAAAAATAGATGAAATAGCGGCATTATGATGTTGGGGAAATGAGTTGGCGAGAAAGTAACTTTCAAAGAATTGAGCAACAACCATTAAGATAGTACATAGTACTATGATTAATTAAAGTGATCCTTACTATAATTTTGCTAAAGATTTATAAAGCAAATGTAGATAATAAATCTTAGTCAATCAGAACAAGTCTATGACAAAAAAAGATAAGTTTAACTTTTTTTTTTATCACAATAATTTTCTACTTACTGGTTAAACTGCCTTCCACTAATTAAAAATTAAACTCTGACCTATTGTTTTATATGCTTGAGAGAACCTCAAAACAATATGAATAAAAATTTAAATGAGAAATTAATTAATATATTGATTGATAATACTTAATTAATTATCATAAATAAGAAAAGCTCGGAAGACACTTAACTGAAATATTATGAAATCTAACATCATGTCATTTAAAAATATGCAGCTGAAATTGACATATACAGATACAATGAAGATAGGCAAATAAATATATTTAAAACATTTTAAAACAGTATAAATACATGCATGAGAATATACTCATTAGCTTTGAAAGACAAAATTCTCAATGGAGTCTATATTACTAAGCACATAGAATATTAAAGATAAGTCAATTTATTTAGATATAAATAGCTATAAAGTGAATTACATAGAACCTGATAATTACAAAATTGCCATATCAATTTGAGTCAATAATCCAATTCCTTTACAAGAATCATTTTACTTCGAAGTTGAAATTAAAGATAAAGGGAATAATGGAATTATTGGGGTAGAGTTTTGTACAAAACAATATATCCAGAATATAAATATGAATATTTCAGATATCATATCTATAAATCGAATAAAAGTTTATTTAATTTAGGTAAATATGAAGAAGCACTTGCAAATTTGACTAGATTACTTGAAATTGATCCAGATAATTAATTTGCATTAAGGTATTGAGGAGAAACTAATTATATAATGAAAAATTGCAAAGTATTTTTCTCAGACTTGAAGAAACTATAGAAATTAAGCCAGGTGATAAATGGGCAACAAAAGCTTACAATTTAGTCAATGACACTTTTCTTTAAAAAAATAAAGATTTTTGCATTGCCTAGAGTATACTTTTAGAAATAGTATCACTTTTGAATTATGCTAGTAGACAGAAACCTCAGAGTATTTCAGAATTCTTTGAAATATTATTTGAGAGTTGATTAGATTCAGATTATTCAAATGCTTTAGATCGAATTTTTTGAAATCGAAATGTTATAGATCAAATTTATTTTTAATTTGCCAGATAATTGGTGTAATATGTTGAATTCTTTAAAGAATTTAAATTCTTTAAAGATTTCAAATTCTTTTTCTAACCTTCCAGATCTACCAAATTTCATAAAATTACTTTATTCTCCTATACCTACCAAATCTTTACAACTTTCAGCTCTTTTGCCAGGAAACAATCTTTCTCCTCTTTTGTTAATTTCTGCTTCAATAATAAATTCAAATTCAATAAATTTTTGTTGATTTATTATCTAATTCTCTTTTGCCTCATTTGGACACTAATTTTTATCATATTACTCTGAATAAATTTTCTGAGTTGCCTTTTTTTTCATTGGTTCAATTTGTATTAAATTTTTGTAATTAGATAAGTAGCAACTCTGATATTGATACTTTTATTCAACAATTGCAGCTCGTAGCAGATTGTTTTGCTAAAATTATTAAATGGATTCTTTTTAAGGAATTCATAAATGTTAAATATCTTGCTAAAGAGGATTTAGTACTATTTTTAAGATAAATGAACTAATAGATATATTTCTAGTTTTGATAATAGAAATTTTTGATAAGTGAGAAGTAAAATATAAAAAAGTCTTGATAACTCTAAAAATTTATCTCATAAATTTTTAAAAGAAGTTAAAAATCAATATAAGTATGGAAAAGATCCAAGTAATAGTAATTATATAATTGTTATGCAGTATGCAAAGCAAGGAAGTCTCTAACAATTATTAAATCGTAAATTTAAAGAATTAAGTTGGATAAATAAATTAGAAATTTTGTATTACATAGTACAGAAACTTGCTAAAATTCACAAAGCTAAATTAATTTATAAAGATTTTTTATTTAGAAAATATAGTTAATAAAAATGAAATTAGCCCTTATATTACAGACTTTGGATTATACAACCAGTAGTTCAGAATTCAAGTTTTGAAGAAATTTGTGTTGTACTTCCTTATATTGCACTAGAAGTATTGATTCAAAAAAGTAGCAAACAACAATATATAGTCAACTCTCTTTTATCCGAACAGCCTGTTCTTAGGTTTTTAGTTCAGTTCTCAAAGAGGTATTATAAGCTTATCTGAACTTTATAATAAAATTTATAAATATCTTGAGTTTTCAGTTTAGTTAAGAGAGAGTTTGGTTTAAAGAGGTTTGATTAAGAGAGAATTGACTATATATAACAATTAGATATTTATTTATTTAAAATAACTATATTAGAAATATTTACTAAAATTTTACTATTTCACATGATAAAGAACTTGCAATGAAGATTATTCAATTAAATCTTAGACCTTTTATCTAACGTAAAGTCTTACATTACTTTTAGATTTAAGAAATAAATGTTTAGACACCAACCCCAAAATAACTAACTACCAAAAAATTAGCTCTTATTTTGAAACAATATCGAATAGTTATAATTGGTAATAAATCAGCTGGATTATATATATCAGGAAAATAAATATGGTGCAGATCTGTGCAGATATGTGACCCTGGAGATTTTTAACAAATTTTGCGATATCTCATGATCTATCGATCAGAATTTAACAAATTAAGTACCATTCGAACCGTCTCGATGAGGTGGATCGAATGATACTAAATTCGTTAAATTTCGATCACTGGATTACGAGATAACCGCATTTAAGTAAAATTTGCAGCTATTTCACGATCTTGTTAACCAGTAGTCTAAATTTAACAATTTTGGTACCATTAGATTCCTCTTGATGAGATGGTTCGAATGGTACCAAAAACGTTAAAATTGGATTACTGGTTCGCAAAATATTTGCAGAATATGTTTCGTGTCATAGTTTTGCGCAGATCTGCACAAAAAAATTCGCAAATCTGTGCAAAACTGCATTGTGAAACATATTCTGCAAATATCTCGCAAACTAGTAATCCGATTTTAACGTTTTTGGTACCATTTGAACCGCCTCATCGAGAGAAATCGAATGGTACCAAAATCATTAAATTTGGACCACTGGTTAACAAAATTGTAAGATAGCTGCAAATTTTACTAAAATGCAGTTATTTTGTGATCCAGTGATTGAAATTTAATGAATTTAGTACCATTCGATCTATCTTATCAAGATGGTTCAAATGGTACTGGATTTGTTAAATTCTGATTTATAGATCATAAGATATTGCAAAATTTGTTAAAAATCTCCAGGGTTGCAGATCTGCACTATATTTATTTTTCCGATATAAACAAGTTAATGAAATTGAGAAGTCAACTGAGAACTAGTATAATTCAACACAATACAATTATCAGAAATATTCACAAGCTATTTACACAAGCTTATGACAATTAGATATAATTTTGCATATAAGTTTATTACAGTTGGCTGCTGATTGGCCTTGAGTTCTAGTCATAGTAAAATAATACTATACTTAATAGCTTTGTTTCCTGACCCTTTATTCAAAAAATTTATAGTAGAAGTTTGCAATTGTAGTAAATTTTTGAGACATTAATTGCAATCATTGGGCTCTATATTTACATATTACATGATGTTAAATTAGCCTTTTCATTGTTAAATATTTGAATATTAAAAATATCTAATATTTTTATTCTTGTATAATGTTTTATTTAATATTTTTTTACTTTATTTATTTATTTTTTTGTTTATATAAATACAACATATAACCCATTACCTTGCTCCAGAATTAAAAAATAATGATAAGTAATAATTATCAGTTGTATCATAGATGATAACTGATTTCTATGTAATTTATTCAGTCACTTCTTAATACAAATATACAAATATTTACTTACCTTGTAAGAGGTAAGTGAATTTTGTATATTGTATTATAAAGTGACTGAATAAGTTACACAAAAATTATTTAGTGATTACATAGAACATGTCAGATAAGTATAGAGTTAATATATACTATAGTTGCTTATAGTAGTTGTAGTAAATAATTTAATTATATAGGTTTATATTCCAAGATATAGAATTTAAACATGAACTCATAGATGCCCCAGATTAGAAAATCAGGTTTTATATATAAAGATGATCTTTTTTATAACCAGCCAATCAAATTATATTTTTGTCTCATAGTGGTTGTCTTATAGTATTTGTTTTATATTGTTTATCTCATTGTGTTTATCATTATAGTGTTTATCTACACTATTATATATTATACAGTATATTGATACATATTGGCTTTTTTTATAAGTTTAAAGTTTCCAAACCACTTGGGTGATTTTGGGTCTTTTGACATCGAAAACAGTTTAGCAGCTAAGGCAGTCAAAAATATTAAATTTTAATTTAATTTACTGTAACTTAACTTTAAATAGTAAATAATATATTTATTAATTTATATTAGTGGCATCAGTGATCATGTTTTTTAAATATTTTCTTTAATAAAAAATAACTTGAACTAGTAGATGAGCACTTATTATTTTGAATTACCTTAATGAGATGATTCAAATAACATTAAAATCTTAAAGTTCAATTTATTTGGTTTAAGATATTTTGATTAAAAGTAAGTATTCAAAAAACACAATTTGCAAGTTTTTTTTTAGCATAACCTGTATACAAAATAAACCTTTATGAAAGTTATACTATCTGTATTTATATGTAATAATGCATATAGGTGTTATTTCAAAACTTCTATTTTTTAAATTATGTTTTTTAAATCAAAATGAAAATAGTAAACAAGTTCATTAAACAAGAACATAAAGACTTATTTATCATGATGTATAAATCATTTCATTTGTATTAATCATATCACTCAGTGAGTAAGTATAAAGAATATTTAATAATTTTGAAAGTAAAAATAGCAAAACAAGTTCACAAAACAGTACTTATTTACTATTATATACAAGTTATTTCATTTGCATTAATTTAGATTGTTCTTATGCACCTTCCTCAATAATTCTTAAAGTAATCTAATTGGCTAAAAAAAATTAATCATGATAACTATTTAAATCAAAAAACCTGAAGTTAACAATTATCTTTTTTTTTATAAAGTTCTACTGATTGGCTAAAAATTTCTATTGATAGAGTAATCAGAAAGATCTCTTAATACAAATTTTTTTCATTTACTTCTATATTATAGATCTTCAGAAAACTATTACCAGAGATAAAGAATTACTACATTACTCCTCATATTAAAAACCCTCAACTAAAGATATTCAAATACTCTAACACAAATAATAAACACTTGTTATTTTCTAGCCTTTAATTATATAATATTGAATTCAGATATTCCACTTGCTCTTTCTTTGCCCAATTCAAGAATACAATATCAACAAAGACCCAAAACTGAAGGGTTTTGAACTCAAGTTTTTTTATTTTTAGTAGATAGAGAAGGTTTCAATACTTTTCAGAAGCATTTTTTTTTAATCTAACTACTTTTTGTGCTATTGTAGAATGTATAGAAGCTTATTCAGTTTTTATGTTAAATGCACCCAGTGCAACACTTGTATGGAAACAGGTTGTAATTGTATTATAGTTGTTAGCAAATAGAGCAGAAATATAAATATTAGAGAAAACATTAGATATAAGCCAAGTGTCTGTAAGCCACTTTACAGATTGATTTTTAAAGACATTATTGAATTTGAAAAATGATTAAATTGCATAGCCACAAGGATTACATTTAATAACTATAACATGAGAGTTTGAGAACAGTAATGCTAAATTTGAAAACCTAGATTACCAAATATTATTGGTACAATGAACAGAACTTATATACCTATTTGCACACCTTCTAAAAATAGTGCACATTATAGTCAACTCCCTCTAAGTGCAACTCGTCAGGACCGATAGATTGCCTTGCATATAGAGAAAAGTTACATTTAGAGAAAAATATTCAAAATCGACCATTTTGGCATGTGATACATATTTATACTTATAATTAGTCAATTTTGGTATATAGCAAATCAATATACCTTGATTGCATATCAGATATTGATATTAATATAATGTATATACATATGTATATATATATATACTTATGTATAGTAAAGTTATTAGGTGAAGCAAGAAACAATCCAGTTAGACTAAAATGCAAAAATTATTTCTAAGCTAATATAAATATGGGAATGATCTAAAAAATCACTTGGTAATTATTTTGTAATCTTACTAAATTATTTTGTGCTAATATGTTTTAATTCATTATCTGTATTATTTTATAAGTACTATACTTTTGACAAGGTTATTTCAACTGGTTTATAGCAGCCCAATTATTGTCCAGAAAAAAATATACTAGTTTATTTTGATAGCATACATGTAATTTCAAATAGATTTCTG